TGGCGGTGCCATTCTCCAGGGCGGGCCCTGCCGTGGGGGTGGCGGTGACATTCTCCAGGGCTGGCACTGCCGTGGTGGTGGTGCTGACATTCTCCAGGGCTGGCACTGCTGTGCTGGTGGCAGTGATGTTCTCCAGGGCTGGCACTGCTGTGGTGGTGGCAGTGGCATTCTTCAGGGCTGGCACTGCCGTGGTGGTGGCGGTGACATTCTGCAGGGCTGGCACTGCCTGCGTGCTGCCAGCCTCCCTCCTCCCAGCCCCTGCGGCTGCGGTTCAAGCAGGCTGAGAGTGCTCTGTGAGTGTAATCAAACTGTTCCGCTGAGCCTCACGCAGAAGCTATTAACCCCTTGGCATCAGTCCCTCAGATTTACTGCTCAGGACTTTTCTCTCTCCACCACTACGGCTGTCCAGGGTATGAAGTACCTACGTGCTGGCCTCAATGGAGCTTAATAAACTTGCCTTCTCTACATTCAGCATCAGAACGTCTCCAGTTATTATGCTGGAGCTTTCCCAAACAAATACTCTATATTACAGGAATAAATCAAGTTAAATATTAGCTTTTTCGGCACAAAACAAAAAAGGGAAATAATTAAAAAAACCATGCAGTCTACTTTCCAGAGGGTGAGCTGGCAGAGGGAGGTCTCCCCTGAGCTGGGATCAAGGTTCAGGGGATGGAAAATTGCTCTGGTTTGGAAAACAGCTCAGGGGCTGGGGCTCGGGTGTGTGTGTTCAGCCCCAGGACTCAGGGTGACCCTCGGTGCTCCTTGGTGGTCCCGGGTCTTCTTGGGCTGCCGCCCCCCGCTGCTGCTGGCCCCACCGGAGCCCCCGGAACTGTGACTGGTGCCAGTCTTTCACTGGGCTGGCAACAGGAAGGGAAATGTTCTGACTGAAGGAGGCAGCACTTGGCACAGCCCACCCTGGCTTTGCTTTGCTGTAATATAAATAGAGGAAACTTAAATTATGTGGCTTGCTCATATTTTTGCAGCTAATCAATCTGTCGTGCTATCAAGCTGTCAATCTTTTCGGGAGGGGTTTATGGTGTTTTTCTGAGTGGGGCTGATTCTTTTGCCTCTGCAGTTATGGATTAGAGAGCAATGGGAGGCAGTTTTCATGTCCTGTGATAATCTTCAAGGTGTGAAGTGCTTTCTTCTCCTCTCTTGATATGAAACGTGGCTGGTAGCCTGGAGCACTCAGGCAGAAATGTGGTCTCAGGCTTGCAGAGTTGGGCACGCGGTGAGGTTCGGGTGCACGCTCCTTCCCCACACGCCTGTCGTGCACAGCTCGGGGCTGTTACTGAACGGCGCTGGGCGCATTTGCTTGCTTGGATCTTTTTGTACTTACAGTGCAGTGGGTCCCAAGCTTTTTCTTTACTTGCTGTGTCACTATCAGCCCACTGCAGCCTGCTCCTTGGTGGCTGTCCTCTGAGATGCCCGCTGTACCCAAGCCACAGTCACCGTAGGAACTGTGATGCCAGCGTGTTGGAGCCAGTGTTGAGCCCCGAGAACACTGAGCTCGGAGCAGGCTCCTTGGCCGGCCTGTGGCTCCGCGCTGCAAGCTGTCACGCTGTCACTGCACCCACCACAGCAGGATCAGAAGACGGTGTTGGAGATGGGTGCATAAAGCCCACGGGCTGCGAGCAGCCCTGGCTCCTGCTTAGAGAACAGGCCAAGTCTGCTCATGCTTGGTGGAGCATCTGCTCAAGCTGGGCAGAGAATGGATTGGGAACAGCCCTGAGGAGAAGGGCTTGGGGGTGTTGGAGGATGACAAGCTGGCCATGAGCCAGCTGTGTGCGCTGGCAGCCCAGAAAGCCAACCGTATCCTGGGCTGGATCCAGAGCAGCGTGGCCAGGGGCGCGAGGGAGGGGATTCTCCCCCTCTGCTCCACTCTGGGGAGACCCCCCCTGCAGTTCTGCGCCAGCTCTGGGGCCCCCAACAGCAGAAGGACACGGAGCTGTTGGAGCGAGGCCAGAGGAGGCCATGGAGATGCTCCGAGGGCTGGAGCCCCTCTGCCAGGAGGTCTAGTGGAAGGGGTCCCTGCCCATGGCAGGAGGGGGGACTGGTTGGGCTTTAAGGTCCCTTCCCACCCAACCATTCCATGACTCTATGCTTGTGCAGACTTTGTGCCTGTCACACAAGGTGCAGAAGGTATTTTATGGATTCTGCAATCTCTTCTGCATATGCAAATTCTCGGCAGTTGCAGCATCGCGAGCGGCACTCGGCTGATGAGCACTTCTGGAGGTGCTCACTCTGACAGGCCAGATGTGAGAGAGAAACACGGTCACGTGTGGCTTTTGGCATCCCCCTGCCCTCACTCAGACACGCACCCTCCCACTTGGCCTCTTCCCCAGGGATGTAGCACAGCTGATTTTTTCTGCAGCTGCAAAGTCCTTTCACATTTCAGCAAAGCAGGGCTGGCTGGCTCGGCTGGGGTTCGGGATCACCGTGTCGCTGGGAAGCTCCGGCATGAGGCGTTCACAGCCCATACGAGCCCGAGAGCGGCGTTTTGCATTTAGCATGGTCCGCCAGCCAGCCTGGAGCTGCGGAGACCGAGCGTGCCGGTGGCAGCCGTGTCCCCAGCTGCATGCGTATCGCACGCTGCCCTCCCAGTGGCACCCATAGCACTCTCTGCGGTTTTCTGCTGCGATTGCCCCGGCAGAGTTCAGTTTCCCTATGGAGTTATTTCCTACAGCCGAATCCTGTTTGCCAGCAGCTGATTTTGCCTTTACATTTGATCTGTGTGTACCCCTGGGGAGGTCTCCTGGGGTGCTTATCCCCAAACAGGCTGTTACCAACAACAGCGCTCTCTCCCCTCACAGTCTCCAAGGGAAATGTCTCAAGAAGCACCAGGATGCTTCCCAAGCCCTTCCTGGCACTGCAGTCTGCTTCCAAAGGGGCCTTCTGCTGCTGCCCCCGCCCCAGCGCAGTCCTCTCAGGGCCAGGCTCAGAGGTTCCCTGGTTTTCTCTGAAGGGTTGTAGATAGCACGGTAGGTCTCTGCATAACTAATAGTGCATCTAATGCACTTACTCCCAGGTAACAGGATTCATCTTCCCACAGACTCTTCTTTGAGCCTCTCTTTTCCTCCACCTTTGAATGCCCAAAGCCCGTCTGCTTTTAGCACTTAAAAATCAGCCTTATTTTTTAGCACTTGTGCACAGCGACTTGTAAATCTTCACTCCTGTAAAAACGGTGAAGATAAACGGAGGCGATGAACTGAACCCGTTCGGTTTGTGCAGAGGGGCAGGCAGGGCGCCCATCTCTGCATCCTCGTGGGTGCTGCAGCTCGGCTGCTCTGTTGGGTGCAAAGGGCTGTTGTAGAACACCCCAGGGAGCTGGTACCAGGGAAGGATGAAGCACTAATCTGGTCCCTGTGCCTTGCTGGGCTGGACCACAGCACCACACTGAGCTGCTCCAGGCTCCAGCGCTCCACTTTCTTCAAACATCAAAGGCTGAGAGAGTTGGGGGGTTCAGCCTGGAGAAGGGAAGGCTCCAAGGAGACCTTAGAGCCCCTTCCAGTGTCTGGGGGGGCTACAAGAAAGCTGGGGGGGACTTTTCCCAAGGGCAGG